TCATCCGGGTTAGAATCTTGGTATTTGAGCTTTGGAAGTAAGTGTTCACTCACTGAGCTACCCCGCTCCTTCAGAAAATTAAACATCTTTTAAAGACAACACTCTCTGCAGTGATTTCATGTAAATTGTTGAGATAGCAACAAGTATCACATTAAAATATCCTTCATGGCATAGGCGCGTCCTTATTGCGCAATGAGTCTATTTGTGATAAAGAATTTACTGGTACAGATTCATCCCTGAATTCAACATTTTGTATAGAAATCATAATTATATGATAAATATGACATTAGACCATGATGGTAGTCCTGGTAAATATCTAGCTACAATCCAGTATACTATTCACAAGGGCTCAATGGCACTTAATAAAATTTGGAATCGCTTGAAATATATAATGTACCATCCTCTATAGTATAAATATATAATGGAACCTCAACTCACCACTTAGATAAACTGAAGAGAGAAATATTAGGAACTGTGCAGACCAGAGAATTATTAAACGAATGAAATCTTTCCGGCACAGTTTCCTAGTTTTCGTTTAGTTAACTTAGCACTGGAAACATAGCAAGTACTTAAAAATGTTGACAAGAAGTGCTTTCATAGCTCTAATCCTCGAAAGATTTATAATAAAGAAGAGGAAGATAAATCGAGAATCATGCGTTACAATTTTTTTTTTCTAGATGAGAAAGTGAGTTCGTTTTTGGAGATTTTTAAACTCTTTCTCGGCACTACCCTCAAGGGTTACTGATGTTTTACCATGATTAATATTCTTTTATAGAACATTCTCAACACCAACAATTTTAACAAAGTAGTGACTCGGTCTTCATTATCCTATAAGATTACTCTAAATGTTTTTGGAAGTTGTTTTCAAATTGGAAACATTCTTCTAGTAAGTGTTTCACTGTTTCACATCGTATCCATGTTTTAACTGGCAGTGTGCAATCCTAAGTCGGCACATCAAAACTTCTTTCCTCCAACATTTGGAGCTAGAGGGTCATCTACTGCAATTAAGTTTCATTTCTGTCAGTTTTCATTCAGCACTTCCATCCTTTCTCGCACTCTATTTTCTTTGTGTGGTGTATCCAGCATTCTAATGTAACTTCTTTTTAGTCATCCCCATTTCTTTTTCACTACCAGCTAAATGGGCTGCTTGCTTAGCTCTTTCATGTCCCAAAATGCCGCAATGGCTGGCACCCAAACGAAGACATTCATTTTTTACTTCCGACCGTACATATGTTATTTCTTTGATTATAGCCTTTCTTGGGTATGGATAAAACTCTACGTGTCTATTAAGAGTCCATGGTGGCAATCGCCTGTTCGATAAATGTGAACCATTATCCTGGCAATTTAAATAGTTGCTGGTCCTCCTTACTCATTAGAGCACACCCTAAGCTATCTCCATTCTTGGAGGCAACCATATATACGAATACAAAGTTATTATATTTTTTGTCAGTTTAAAAATGGCTTGGAGATTTAGTTTGTTGAAATGTCAAGTGATGAATAACGCTGCGCTAAAATCATAAATATACAAAGCATTATTGAATGAATATACATATACTAGGCAGTTGGTGGAGATTCGAGAGAATAGTAGAAGTGAGTAAGGTAGAACTTTAGTTTTCATAACAATGTTTAATGTTTAAGTTTACTCATAAAACATGTCACATTACGTGATATGAAAATTTTACTATAGTAACATATTCATCTGACTTTCCTTCAAGTAGCAACTATTTCTTATAACGAAAAAAAAATTACTAAAGGAATACGATATAAAATGTTTATTTCTCCAGTATATTAATATATTACCAAAACGGTTCTTCAAACAAGTGATAAAAAAACCTTGTTGAGAGTTATGAGAAATGTATAGAAGCTAAGAGGGGTTTATTTCATACACAAATAACACAATTTGTTTTTATTTTTATTCCATTTTCATTTTTCAGTAACTGATATTTCATATGTTCCGACCCAATATTTTCTTTATTCATAATTTTTAATTATTTACTTTTAAATAACACGATATTTAGATTTATTTCTTATCTTTATTCTCTTTTACATTCTGTCGTGGTTATTTATAAATTATATAGTATTATCTTGGGATAAGTTTGTATGGAGGCTTTCCCTAAAACCAACAAAGCAAATAATAAAATCCGTTTTACAGATATAGCTTGAAATATGAGTTAAAGTATTATACATTGTCAGTATTATTAATTAAGCCTGAGCGTTACAATACGTCATAATAGATCATGTGGTCATGTATTTGAATGTTTGACAGATTTTTCTGATATCGAAATTAAATTAAAAAAGAAAATTAATATTAAAACAAATTTCCTATGATATTTTTTCGTTAATTCATGTCTCGAAATTGAGACACAGTTTTCGTATTTCATTCTTTGTAAAGTTCCTGATAAATACACACAATATGGATTGGAACTTTCACTTACCAGCTTGAGTTAAAATAGATAAGTATTTTGATATGTAGAGAAGCGCACTTTCATATGTTGGTAGGTATTTTCGTATGTAGCGTGAAAGTAAAATTATATATGGTATAAAATATTCATTTAAAATATATAAAATAAAATACAAACAATTGTGGCCGCGTTAAAAATATTAAAGGATATATTAAGATTAAAAGAAAAACACGAATGATAAAAATAATTGTTTGTTATTAGATTTAATTTACATTAAATTACATTTAATTTAAATAATTTCAATTTACAAAAAAAAAATGTTATAATAATGAAATATATAAGTGGATCTATTGTGAAAAATTTAAGCTTTATTCAAAACGTCTACGACGAAACGAGTTAAAAAAAACATTAATATTAGTATAAATAATTTAACGAATATATATATTAGTTAATCTTCTATATTTCGCGAGAAAATATTGTTTGAAAATTATGAGTAAGCGAAATATGTGAACAGTTTAAATAGCAATAGAAAAACGGTGTAAAAAGGCAGATTAGAATAGGTCGGGCGCCCTCAGCTGTTCCCGACTTATTAGTTTCAATCTAATGTAAAACTAATCCTTATTTTGCCTTTCGTTAATTACCAAATTCGATCATAGTTAAGGTTCGTCTTATTTGTAATAATAGTTATAATATAAAATGTCTAATTATATTATTTAGAACATTGCAGATATTTAGAAATTTTCATTTCATATACCTTCAATAAGTAATGCAGGTACAACACAGTTTGGTTTTTGAGCTAAACTGTACACGCTCATACATACACACCATTTCGCAATGATTGGACGTTTAATGAATTACATTAACGGTGATAAATCTCATTTAATTATTATAATACAATCATAATAGTTATAATATATATTTCATTAAAAATATATAGCAAGAAAATTATTATCCTCATTACTATTCTATTACGGTTCCATCCCTTACGCCCACTTACCCAATATTTTTATTTTTCCTCCTCGCCTTCTCCGAATCCATAACCTGCCATTTCCTCCTCAACTCTTTACCATTTAAAAAAAAAATGGCTGGGCCTCCGGAACGTTTCCATTTAAATATCATTTTGAACGGCGAGCACTCCTGCACCCTTTATTACATTTCCATAACATTTTAATTTTCTCTAAATTACCCTCTCCTTTATATTTTGGATAGCACAGTTTTTAACGAATAATTCAATACTTAAATCATGTCTATAAACTATATTCGCTAGCCTCATTCATACACAAACCCATTAGTTTCTAAGCTAAGAGGACAGCCCGTTTTTTGTTTGTAAACCGAAACTGAAAAACTAACGGACAGATGGACCGTTCTTTTGCAAAATTGTCCAGGTTCTCTGGAGAAGATCTTTAGCTACTGAATAGCGGCTTACTCACTAAGCTAATCTGCTCCAGAAAAGATTTAGAAAACCTTTAGTAATTAGTACTTTTGATATCTACATACAATCCATTTCAATCACAGATTTAATTGTATACCTTGACCAGTTGACGAACAGAGAGTAAAAATAGTGAAATAGGAACAATGTGGCAAATGGGTGAGTACTATTTCTACTTACTGGCCAAGGTATACTGGTACTGGTTCTGGTGGGAATAAGTAGTCCGGAAAGTGGGCCAATCGTGGTCATTTTTGCCTACCCCCAACGGATACCTTGAGGTTGCCGCCGTGTATTTACTAGAGTGGGAATGACTCAGATAGGAATCGAACCCAGAACGTTCAGAACCGAGCACGTTGGGGCGTGGATCCCATCCCTTCCTCCTGGTCAAAGTATTGTGAGAACGCTTGGTAGAGCATTGATTTTTCCTGTTTTCAATAATTACTTTTAAAATATTTGGCCAATGGAATGTTAATGATATTTCATATTAACTTAATACATGCATATATATATATATATATATATCATATTAAATGAATGTATACAAACTCTATGGCCTTCAGTGAAAACAAGAGATTCAAATTAGTTTAATAGTTTAAACTCTGAAATTATTCTCGAGTCTTAATATATTGTCTCTCTAAGGTATTTTTTTTTTTTTTATCAATAGGCTAAGTCTCCATTAATTCTTTATGAAATCCAATAATTCAACCATTATTTCAAAGATCGTCTTATCCTTCAGGTACGAATACTAGCACATCCACCATTCAAGAAAAAAATTTATAAGAAAAAGGAAAATTTATACGCCTATAACTCAAAAAGAAATTTATAATTCATAGAAGTATATTATACCCACGATAATTGAAAATGTTTCCAAGTTTCTTACAAAATTCAAATAAAAAATCTTACCATTTTTAGCTAAAATGTAGTAAACTTAATTTGTACATATGTATTGGTAGATTATTTTGAATGAAAATTAGTTTATCCATCTCAAAACATATTGAATTTTCATATTGCTAAACATGTTTCATATCATTGTCATTTGTTCACTATTATGCGAACTATTCGCACGGGCCAGCTAATGTTGTCTTGCAGCTCAACCAAAACAGCATTACTCAAAACATTGATTACTAAATCCTCGAGACTATTACAGCAATAAAATATTTTTGTTTCAGAGAGGCCAAGATCTGGGTTCAAGATGACACCAGTGCTGACGGTGGTGAGCGGCGTGGTGGGCTCGCTGTTCCTGGTGGCCTGCTTGGTGGCCGGCCTCCTCAGGCTCCAGTGTTCCAGGGATGACAGACCGAGGGCCAAAGCAGATCCTCCTCCAGCCAAACCTCTCGCCTCCTCGCCAAAGGGTGACCCACCTTCAGAGCCAGACGAGAGGAATCCGGATATCATACCTCAACCAAACTCAGGTGAGGATTAATTATACACATATATATGTCAAGCTGTAAAAGTAACTGGAACCTCGTCGTACTAGGATTACAATCAAGGTAAAATATGACACATATTGAGGAACTTACACCGAAAATGTCACAAATTATGGATATTTCGTAGTAAGAAAAAAAAATAACAGTAATAGTTGAATAATTATTCTAGCTTAGGCCTTGCTGAAGAATAGTCCAGATCGTTTAGTTTCTATACGAAATTATTGGACAGTTCGATTCAGTCTTGTCATATTGAAATTAACAACGTGAAAAACATTGGATTTATTTAGGTATATGTTCTTTTGAAAGTAAACTCCTGAATTGTTTTTTTCATAAAAATTACATCAACATTCTCAAATATACTCCTGTTTTATAAATATTTAAATTACTACAACAAACAGTTGAAGGGAAACGATGAAGTGGATTGCTCTAAGAAAGTGGTAGGATCCCTAGAGACCTTCCTAGAGGGCAAGCCGTGGCATGCTTTAGAATGCTCACAGGCCATGATTTCCTTCAGAAGCACCTCCACCGCATCGGTATAAAAGATAGCCCGACATGCCCTCTATGTTCCTTAGACATGATGACAGGAGAACATCTTGATACATGCCCTGCATTACAGGACATAAGATGTTCCTTTAATGAAATGGGCATCCCTTATACTAGGAGAGCAAAATTGTATTGGACTGGAAGAGCACGCATGGCTGATGAAGCAGGCGTTACTTAGGCGTAGAAAAAAAAAAAAATTAGATTACTGCAACCCATTTAGTCATACACCGAGTAAATTTAACTGACAGACCAAATGAAATAATAAATAATTATTTAGATAAACCAACAAAAACCGTTTAAACTACAAGGATTTACACACATTCAATATCGAAGATATTATTTAAAAAAAATTAATTAAATATGTACAACCATAACTGAAAACAGCGTTATTCAGTAATTGATAAGAATTTCTGTTCATTTATCAACAATTATGATCACCCTGCCACACTTGCAAGACATGCCTACTCATTCCTAATAATATACAATGGCGGCCATAGAAATTGAATCGCTCATTTCTGTGATTCTTATTGCTTAACGTTGATTCCATTGAATGATTTTGTTTTCTATGCTTATTAAGGTTACGAGAAAATTTTAACAATATTAAATTGCCAGTTTAAATTAATGCCAGGATAAAAACTATAATTATGACTTGTATCAAAAACTGTCCTCGTCAAAAAACATTAAAATTATGATGTTACATGAACTAAAGGAATTTATTCGGGAAATAGTAGCAAGGATAGGATACCACCAATCAACGGCATTCATAATTAAAAAAAAAAGAAGGTAACGTGGAACGAAAGAAAGCAACTAGGAGGGGGAAAAACAAACGATCGATTTAACCGCTTAATGATGCAATTGCTTTGTGAATATCGTTTCATAACTGGCAAAGAAATATCCAGAGATCATGCAGTAGTAATCTGGTAAATAAAATAACATTTTTACTGGGTGATGCAACTTTCTATGACCGCAATGACCGCAACCGTGTATATATGTATATATATATACATACATATATATATATATATATATATATATATATATATATATATACATACATATATATATATATATATATATATATATATATATATATATATATATATATATATATATATATATATATATATATATAAATCAATATAAATGTTTTTTTCTGTATATCAACTTTTATATGTATGTATATATATATATATATATATATATATATATATATATATATATATATATATATATATATGTGTATATACTCCTCATATATATATATATATATATATATATATATATATATATATATATATACATACATATATATATATATATATTTAATATATATATTATATATATTATTATAATTAAATTCATATTGATAAATTACTAGCAGCAAGGGGCTTATTGAATTCATAAGCTTCTTAATTCAGGAATAAAACGTGGGTACAGAAATAGAAATATATATATATATATATATATATATAAGTTAAGGTACGGAGCGGGACAGTATTAGCCTTAATACCAAAAGCATTGATGTAAACAATCTCAGAATGTATATATAGAGGATTATAAGGAACAATAAAGCAGTCTTGATTCCGACTTCATGCGTTTTATTCCTTGAACCTTTTACTTTTTTAAAAGTGTTTTAAGTCCGCTACGTTTAACTTATATATATATATATATATATATACATATAAAAGTTGATATACAAAAAAAAACTTTTAATCTGTATCACTATAACACATGAAGGGTCTTGAGTTCACTACTATGTTGGTAAGCACAGTACCTTGGTCAACGGCTGTGCAAGGAGGTGATTTGACCGAGATCACACTCAACCGCCAGGTTTTTCTTCTTAATTAATTACTTGATAAAGAGTACCCACTTTATAGAGGTTGGGTGTTCAACAGGAGGATCGACCAATGGCTGATGAAACATAATAAATAATTTATCTGCCATCAACCGGATTCCAGCCCGGTACCTTCAGCTCTAAAAGTCAGTACCCAACCCACTGACACTGGTTCGGACTGGAAACTGTAAGTATAGGAGGGTGCCGGGGGTATATTGTTTAGAATAGGCAAGAGGAGTATTTTTGGCGGAAGGAATAGAAAAGCCACTAAAACTAGTCATGAAGAACCGTCTTGAAGTACCAAAGACAAATCTTAATAAGCAAAGCTGTAGGGGTAATACGTGTACCTAAGATCACTTTTATTCAATGATCTATAACCTCTAAAATAACAATGATTTTTAAAATTTTAAAAATAGAATTTTATTTATCATGCTTTGAAGATACTATGTTAATTTTTATCTTATAACCAGATTTTGACTACGAAAAAAAATCATTTTTAAAAATAATAACTGACCCGAGGTATAATTCCTACGGTTAAACATTAGGCAACTACTTATACGGCTTCGAATTGTATCTTGGACAATATTTATTGTAATAGAAATTATAATTATTATTCAATAATAAGTATCACTTATCTAACTTGGTAAGCTAACTTTTTCATGTGATTTGTTGAAAGCCCACAATATATTACGCTTCCAGTCAATAAATAATCTTTTATAAACCTCTTCAGTAAAAAACATGAATCAAGGATTTATACTCACAAGACATATTTTGAAATTATATTAGGCCGGCCCAAGGTATAATTCCTACGGTTAAACATTGGGCAACTATTTATACCTACGGCTTCGAATTGTATCTTGGACAATATTTATTGTAATAGAAATTATAATTATTATTCAATAATAAGTATCACTTATCTAACATGGTAAGCCAACTTTTTCATGTGATTTGTTGAAAGCCCACAATATATTACACTTCCGGTCAATAAATAATCTTTTATAAACCTCTTCAGTAAAAACCATGAATCAAGGATTTATACTCACAAGACATATTTTGAAATTATATTAGGCCGGCCCAAGGTACATTATAAAACAGTGGCCCAAGTTACAATGATATGAATTTATTTTTTTTTTTTTTTTAAATCCAAAAGTATTTTGCTTATAACTTGCCTTCAAAAGAAGCTAGATAGATTACTATACATCAATCGAATTTTAATTTTGAACATGTTCATGAACTTTTTTTATTAATAATTAGTATATCAAGTAGTGAAATTTTTTTTTTAATTCTAAAATATTCTTATCAATATTATATAAAAAAAAATAGAGCGGATCAGAGGCACCAAAATCATCTTCAAAGTGTTCTGGCAGTGCATCCTACTCAAATCATTAATATCCTCTGGTGGAATTTCTTATTCTTAGGGTGGTAGCCCTGGAGCCAGGGCCCAAAAATCCACCTAATCGCAGGCGAAGGTTTGATTGTAAATTACGAAAGTGTATGTAATTCTGATTAAAAAAAAAACCTTGTCTGCCGTTCCAGAGCCGCTGCTTTCAAAAATGGCGGCTGATTTAAAGAATATTAGGCCAGTAATTTGAGAATCGAAACGGGAAATCTATTGCAAAAAATGTGAGAAAAGTTTTATTTTTTTAACTTGTATATATGGGTTTAGACATGTAAAAAACAAAATTGCTAACGCGGGCCCCCAAGGGAAAACTTTTGAGTCCATTGAGTAACGCGGGCGGTACTCAATGGACGCAAAATTTGATGCTCTACAACTTTGATTCTATGGGTTTTTCCTCTTAGGGAATTCATTTCCAAGTTACAGGGCCATTTATAGTAATTTGTCTCAGTTTTTGACAAATTTGATAAAGTTCAGCGTTGGTTGACTGTGGTTTTATACCTTAGCGCGTAACCAAATTATAAAGTTTATGTACTCGTTTGACGCAAAATTTAACGTCCTTTAATTTATTAAAGAATTCATTTTTCGCTTTGATGCATTGTTTAGGAGTTCTATGTGAAAAACCCAAAAAATATCGGAAAAATCTTACTTTTTCGGCTGTAAAAAGTTTTCCCTTGGTGGCCCGCGTTAGCAATTTTGTTGTTTACATGTCTAAACCCATATACATAAGTTAAAAAAATGGATTTTCCGTTTCGATCCTCAAATTACTGGCCTAATATTCTTTAAATCAGCTGCCATTTTTTAAAGCAGCGGCTCTGGAACGGCAGAAAAGGTTTTTTTTTAATCGGAATAACATACACTTTCGTAATTTACAATCAAACCTTCCGTTGCGATCAGGTCGATTTTTGGGCCCTGGCTCCAGGGCTATGGCCCAAGGCACACGTATTTCCCGTACAAAATTAAGGATGAAAACATTTTCAACTAAATAATTATCTGAAACAATATAAGAAGAATGTACCTAATCTCAATCATGCCTCACAGGTTACTGTCACTGTAATTTAGCACATTCGATGGTCCGACAAAAAAAGAGGTGAAAATTAAACACTAAAAATGATAACAAAAAGAACTTCCACCAAAGGGCTTAAAAATCAGCAGACAAGTCAGTTGAAAAATCGACGCTCCCAAACAAAACAAATTTATAATTGCCATAATGGAATCCAACT